TCTCTTCTAAGACTTCATTAAAATGAGACCGGGAAAGGCTGCAGAGTCTAGCTCCTGGAATTTGACCTACCCCCTTTACCAAAAATATGCACCTGTATATTTTTCTGTGCAGCGTGTAACTTATGGCATCTGGGCATGTGTCTTCTTGCCCTTGTGTTGCACCTGCACTTGTGTGTGTGTGTGTGTGTGTGTATGCATTCACTAGGAAGCACAGAGCAAGCGACATATGCTATACTGTCATATGAGTAGGAAGGAGGCAGGCTTAAAAGTGGAGGAGTCAGCGACATTCCAAGCTGCTCTCCACCAGCTCTCCTATAAGGACACATTTTAATTTTTTTCTCCATAGCTCCAGGCCAGATTCAGCCCCTTTTCAAACTCAATTCCCTGTCTTCTTCCCCCTCACCAAATTTGGGTCCCATTTTATTCACTTTTTAAAGAGTTATCCTGCTGATAGGCAGACCAGTGGCCCAAGCCCATTGAGCCCCTTTGGGTACTTTCTTTCTAACTCCTGTTGGGTTGGAAAGAATAAAATGTCACTGGAGGAAAGCCAGAAGAAAGGATCGGTCAGGCTAGACATCAGGAGGAACTTCCTGACTGAACTTCCTGAGTTGTCAGCCAGTGGAACAGACTGCCACATGAAGTGATGCGTTCTCCTTCAACCTCAGGTATTCAGTCAGAGACTGCACAGTCATCTGTCAGTGATCCTTTAGGGTTATGTATTATTGATTAAAAGTAGAGTATCTTTGGTTATATCGCTAGCCTTTCTCTCTCTTCTGTAACTGCCCCATAAATTGTGCTTCAAGTTGCTGCAGTGATTATAAAGCCTTCCCAAAACCGACTCCGTTTAACTAAACTGAATTGAGCCCACGTCGTTTTGATTTGTAAAGTATGTCTAAAGAGTGCCACAGGTGGCGTTCCACCGGTGGAGTAAAAATGCCATTTCCCAGTTGCAGCTCAACAAAGTAGCTTCATTTTGCTCTTATTAATGTTTTCTGGGTTCTTTCTGTACCATAAAGATGGTATATTGTACACTGCGAGAACTTTATGTGCAAACTGAACCATGTCCTAAGGAGATGGAAACAGTGATGTGGCTGTCTGCTTTACAGTTCATCGGGTAAGTGACAAACAGTGGCGCGGTTTCTTTCTCTGTTTTTCTCTTTGCCTTTGGCCCTCTTGAGTTCTCAACGCATCGTTTTGTGCTGTGAAAGAAAGAACTGACCTTTGTGAAACACATAACCAAACAATCAAGCGAAACCAAGTCCTCAAAGTTGGTCCCAGCAAAGCGACCGGGTTTTCTTTGCACATTCAGCATATAAATCACAGTAAATCAAATTTAAGCTGCTCATTTCTCTTTTCATTTGCAGTGTCCTGATTCAGCCTGTAAGCAAGACCTACTAGCATATCTTCAACGTATTGCCCTTTACTGTCACCAGCTTAATATCTGTAGCAAGGTCAAAGCAGAAGTCCAAAACTTAGGAGGAGAACTGATTGTTTCCGGGGTAAGCCAACTTCTGTATTTTGCTGTTAGCATGTCTTGATTTTAAATTAGTGATTTCCCCCCCTCCTTTTTGAAGATATAAGATATGTCTTGGTCTTTAATGTTATTCCAGTTTGGATAACTTGACTGAAGTCTTCATTGCTATGTAATCCACCCAAAGAGCTTTTGCTCTTCATGCCCATTAAAAATATAATAAAATGAGATATTAAATTCATTACTAATAGGAGCTCGGTTTTATATTTAGCAAGGTTATATAGCCAAATGTTCCTTCCTTCTCTGATGATAGTAGAGTTCTGCCCTTTCTGTGCATGTCACCTCTTCTGAAGTGAGATCTCCTTAATCCTCTTCATGCAGGTGAACTTCAGCATGAAACGTCTCATTCACTTTCCTACAAGAGGGGGACAATACTGTAGAGGGGGGCACTTGTGAGCAGGACCATTGAGGGAGCCAAGACTTAAAGAACAGCCTGATTTTTTTTCTAGAAAAGCATATGCTTTGACTGGTAAAATGTAATCATTTTTCCAAAAGGAACGTTCTCACCCAAGAACCTTTGCCCAGCCATAGAGATTATACTGGGTGTGGGTGTGGTTCTTTTCTGAATCATTTCCCTCCTTTGGACCTCAGCCTGTAGCCACTTAGTGTCAAGAGCCAATTATTGTCAGGGCAGGAAAGTTCATAAAATTACCAACACTCCTGATCTAGTGACCTGGTGTTGAGCAAAGAATCCCTTGGACCAAAACCTGGGCTAAATTTGACATTAAGTTGTTCCAACTGGGCCATTGATGAAACATATTCTTTTGAATTTGTGTGCTGCTTCCAGAAATAGTTCGTTGTCATGGCATACAGCTTTTATCACCTAATACTTCTTGGGCAGTTGCCATCATCCCATTGCAGTTAAAGGTTATTCTCCTTTAATCCTTCAATTTTTTTTAAAAAAAAATTATTTATGGTCATAGGCTAAATTAAAAGGAACAAAACATGTGTAGGGAGCAGGTAGAATAAAGGAGAAACAGGTAAAATTAAGTAAAGCATGCATGTATTCAAACAATGATATACTTAAAAAGTAAAATGATAACTCCTCTTAGAAAACCACCATTTTACTTCCCTAAAGATTGGCCAGCCATTCCAAATTTGAGCCAGCTATTGCAACAGAACAGCATTTAGTGACTTTTTAGAGGTCCATTAATCCCATGCACATTCCCTATAACCCAGCTTTCCCTCCAAAACATAAATTCTGTTCAAAATGCTCTGTCGACCTTCAGGATGACTAACACAGAGAACCTGAAGCAGAAAATATAAAGTTAGGAGCACACTGGATTGACAGACAAGGGCAGGCCAAGGAACGGATCTGCCCCATATTCCTGTGGCCTTTTGCACAGACCTTTTTACTTTCCCCCATACCTGCACTTGGTAGTCAAAGATCTCATTCAAAGTCAGTTCAGGGATGGGGAGGGAAGCTGACTCCATGTACAACTCTCCATGACACAGATCTATAGCAAATTGTCAGTTGTGACCAAGATCTGTCTCCCTCAGTTGTAGATCTGTGGTCTGAGAGATGTCGCACCCTCTCTTCACCCATGAATATGGTGCCTTGTATCCTCTCTCCACATACAAGCAGGCACACACATGCCCGTGTTCCCAATGATAGGCATTCTAGTGATATACACTTCTGAAGGAAATGGATTGCCCGTGAGAATGAGAATTTATTTTTGTTTCGGAAACATTGTGGGGAAGGGGCCCTCCTGATCCCACAGGTTTCTTGACCTATGTGCAGAATAGTGTCAATTTAAAATCTTGATGTTCTTAAAAATGTGGAAATAAGTCTCCTTTCTCCGTACACCTCTCATGTAGCAGGCTTAGATCATTCTTCTTTTACTTGCTGGCATAACTGGATCCGCTTCCCATTCTCATTGGTTTTGAACACTTCCACCCACCTCTGATCTGTCCCTCAATCCCGCTTGTGCATCAGCTTGGCTGTTGGGCTTAACTCTCATTTCTGTCTTTTCTCTTGTATCTTCTGCAGAAGCCGGCATTGGGCAGATGCTCTAATAGCTTGTGTATGTTGTTGCTGGCTTACCATTACATGCAGTGAAACTGAATACAACAAACTGTTTGACTTCTTCATTCCCCATTTGGTAGTCTTTAGCATCCACTGCTTCATCACCGCCATCTTTATGCTTTTTTCCCTCTTCATTCAACCATAAGCTGAAGCAGTGCTACCATCAACTTGCAAATAATTGGCATTGTGTGTTGTAAACCTAAAGTCACATTCAGAGAAGACCCCTGGTGTTGGCTTCTCTTGATCTTTCTGATGTTTGTGTAGGATCTCCCTTCACAATAACTTTCTAGCAATTGTGATTTTGCTGCATTGTTTCAAAGAGCTGGGTACTGTATGCTCCAGGACTATCCAGTGCTATGGATTCCAACCTCACTTCATCTGTAGCTTCCTTGCCTATTTTCTGCTTTCATCTTGTTCGTCATTCTCTCTTGGATAGCCAGTTGCAAATAAACTTTCTTTTATTTGCATAAAATAAAAAGCAGACTTTGCATACAGTACAGTGCTCATTGTTTCTTTCAAATGATTGACAGTTGGAAAACTTGTACATTCACTTTTATGACCCCAGCTCTACCCATGGACTCCAGTGGGATAAGGTACACACTCACCAGTGAAAACTGATATGTGTGCATTATCATCTAATAATTCTGTGCTGAAAGTATCTGTAGTTTATTTGATGTTTGTAGTTTGTACCCCTTAGGGTATTGAACTTAGCAATGTGTTTGGTGCAAAGCCATATTTTTTCTGCCGTTTGTTCAAGATTTTTGTTAAGGATCTAGTACCAATGAGATAGAAACTTGGCCACTCCTGACATTTTTCTTCAACAAATAATCATCAAAGCTGAACTGAACTTGAATCAATATTGGGAAGCCTCAATAATTCAGATCAGAATGGGATTCAATAGGTTTGGTGAAATGTATTTGTGACTGAAATTATATGTATACGTTTGTCTGGCATGGAACTATCTATAGATGAGAGAACCTCTCATTTTAGTTTCAGTTTCTCCTTTTCCTCACCATATATTTGTTAGGTCCATATCTTCACTTTGCAAATTTGGGTGGAAAAGAAGTCTGCACAAAAATCAGGATACATTTTGTGTGTAACTGCATATCTGCATTTTCCCCAGAATGTAAAATTTTGGCAAGCATTTCTTAATTGTCATGCATTTTGGGGCCATACTTTCATCTCCTATACAATCATTTCTTTGGAGTGTTGTTAAATATTTTCTGCCCAGTCTGAAGTAAAAGATGGCAAAACAACATTCTTAGGACACTGGATTTGTGTATGGATTCAAGAGGTATGGATTTATTTGTATGTATAAAAAAATTGGACCCGGTAGCTTTCTTCTCCATTTTTGTCATACACAATCCCCTAACAAAATCACATTGCATGGACTGAAAAGAAAGAAGTGTAGATTATGAGATGCCCCCTCCTGAATTAAGGGTAATGTATACAATGTGTGAGCATGAAACAGCAGAAATGTTCTTGAGAACTTCAAGGGGATGGACCACTTCCAAAGCAAATCAGCAGAGTTATAAAACTTGTTTCAAAAATATCTAAAGAATGTTGTCTTTGGTCTAGGACCATATATATTTTAATAAACTAAGAATGTTCATTATTGGATGGATTGAAGATGCATAAAAAATATACTTTGGCAACAGTAAGATTTTCTTTCAAAAATCTCCCTGTGTTTAAAAGCATGCAGCCATCATATTCTTTTAAACATGTTGAATACTTGGTAAGGAAACCTATGCCTCCTTTCTGTGAGTGATTTAAATAACATTTGATGATTGTCTTTTTGGTCAACTAAGTGGAGTATATTTATAAAGAATCTGCTTTTTACGACTATTATTAAACCATTTTACTTTAGAACAATAGTATAGACTTAGACTTTCCAGCCCATGCAGATTGTAGTCTCTTAAGACCAAAGCAAAAATGGGAATGGGCGGGTATTATTGTGACCCAACTCGTCATGCAGAATTATTTCCAATGAGGTCTGACAGCAAACCCTCTGCATTGCATGTGTTAACTTTGCTTGAAGGTGAGGTCCTCTGTTGTCCTTTAGAAATAGGAAAGGAAAAAAGGTCAGAGGCAATTTTTGAGCCTTTCACAAGCATTTTTCCCATATTCTCACAAAGATTGAACTCCTTTTGAACTAAGGAATACTTGCAGGGTTAGGGGCCCCCAAACTATTAATTTAGGTCTATGTTGGCTTGACCGTTCTACAGGAGAGGCCGACCCAGTCATTTGATAATGTGAGTCAACTGCCTGCAGGATGGGGATTAGTGGGAAAGTATTGATGAGCAGAATGGCTTGTCAAGATGTCTATGATATATGAAAGAAGAAGTGATATAGAGGAAAATGCTATCCGTTAAAATATGTTTCAGTTACCAGTCCAATCCAATGTTGGAATTGGATTCCTTTGGCCCAAGCAGAAAAGTGTCTTGAGATGACTCTGGAGAACAATTTGTTCTTTGTCAATTTTTTAAAAAACCGAACAAGTCCCAAAGTACTGCTGGGACAGTATGAATATCATCATGGAGTCAAGAACATGTGGGAAATGACTGGTGGCAGGATAGTTAGGTATCTTAAGGTTGTGGCAGATGTGAAAGTAAACTTGTTAGGCATGGAAATGTACTGATATAAACCTGGTTAAGATGAGAAGCAGAAGAGGTGCATTTATGTCACAGAATGATAGTATATGGCAGATACTATATACTATACTTCTAACAGTAGAAGGCAGATTCTATTATTAGTCAGTAATAGTAGTAGTCAGATTAGTCAATACTAGTAGTCAGATTCTACTAAGTCCATTTATCATAGTAATGTCAGCTTTGTTCAGCAGTAGATTCTTTTAAAGAGCCCATAAAATGGGGTCAATGTGGAATAAGTATAAACTGATTTCTTATAGCTTGGAATGTCTGTTGTGTCATTTCTTTTTTGAG